AAAGCAAGACTCGACAAGACGTGGAGGAGCAGATGGAGGAGGAGGAGGAAGACGACGACGACGACGACGAGGAGAACAAAGACGACGACGAGGAGGAGGACAAAGACGACGAGGAGGAGGACAAAAACGACGAGGAGGAGGAAAGGAGGAGGAGGGAGGAGGGAGGAGGAGGAGGGAGGAGGAGGAGGAGAAAGACGTGGAGGAGAAGATGGAGGAGGAGGAGGAGAAGAAGGATGAAAAGGAGGAGGAGGAGGAGAGGGAGAAGGAGGGAGGCGAAAGAAGACCGCCTCCTTTCCTCTCTTCAGCTCAACTTCGATCGCGATCGCGGGGAGCAACAACCCGCGAAGAAGCTACGAGTGCAGGTAGGAGAGAAGGAGGAGGGAGGGGAAGGGGTACGAGGAGGAAGGTGAACCAGGAGAAGGAGGACAGCAATGCAAGTGCCATTCATGATCGTCGCGCAGCACTCGTCCATGCTCCCCTCATGCGCCTCCCATCGCAAATCGACACCTCCACCGTCTAAGCCTGCCCAGCACTCGCTGCCATCCCTCTTCTCCCCTCCTCAGCTCCCTCCTGGCCCAGCGCTACCATGCCATCCCAACAGGCCTGTCATCCTGCTACCCAGCAGCCTCACGTCCGCACCTGATCAGCTCCTCCCATGCTTTAGTGCTGGAGGAGATGGGTTCACCCCGCAGGAGGGCGTGGCCTACGCCGCATTCTGGTCGGCGACTGCCAAGTTTCTCAAATGGGCGGGTGAAATTGCCATCTTCCAGCATTGGATGTTACCTACACCGCCACTCTTCCACCGGATCAATTCTGACACTGAGCTTCGAATCCGCCAACCGCAGCAAGCAGACGCTGGGGATGTTGTCCCCATGCTGGCTGCCTTCTTGGACACTCACAGGCACTTGATGGAGCAGGGCATCTCGGCGTACACCTCCTTGGCGGAGCTTCCTCAGGCGTGCGACAATGGCTGGATTCCCTCGCCTGAATTATTTGGGACGTCGGGCAGTGCGCTTTTCATCCCCGCCCAGCGGGAGCTCACGGCTCCGAGGCTCAGTTCAATCCTCTCGGAGTTTCCTCGGTTCCGCAGCCTAGTATTCGGGCTCACCTTTCACCCGGCTGATGAACTTCTGTCTCAGTTTACCCCTCAGCGCACGATTTGGCACTGAGTCGATTATGGAAATTACCCCGGACCGTCCGGTACCGGGCCCGGGGGAGTCAGTGACTGACATGTGATAGTAGATGGAGAGGGCCTCAGTTGCGGCTGTGAAGGGACCGGGCCCGCCCCGGTCATCCCTGCCTGTAGGTGGGCAAGGAGGGGGACGTGGGCTGAGTTTCAAATTTTTCACCGTTTCCTCCCCCTCCCTCCCCCGTCCCCTTCCCCCTCCTCCTTCGTCCTCCTCCTCCTTCTCCTCCTCCTTCTCCCTTCACTAAGACACCTGGATACACCATCCCTCTCAGTCGTCGTGTCCATCATCCATATTGCACTACATCTATCCACCTCAGCCTTCCCCAGCATCTCCGCTCCTGTCCAAGATCCACTTTTCTCGGATCCGACCCCGCGCTCCTACAGTTATCTTGCCCTGTCTGATTTGCTGCCTCACTTGTGGACTTTGAGCTGGAAGCACATCGTCTGACTGCTCTTTAGCGCATCTAAGTTTCGTCCCCAAGCACGTTGGGGAAATGTCATTTGCTTTCATCAAACTTGCACTGATCGCCCTCCCTCTTCTCGCCCAGCCTGAGCTCTGTGCTGCTGGTCTCTTGTTCGCTCATGGCACCTCGCTTGCACATCATCCCAAGGTTTGATATCTGCATCCTCTGCTTCCTCTCCTGATTGTTCCCTCGCAGACCTGCACAACTTTCCTCCCCCTCCCGCTCAACAGGTGTTCCCATGAGAACCACCACAAGAGTCGAGGCATGCTGGTCCTGGCCCGGGCCGTCATGCCAGGCTGGCAGATGAACAGGAAGGTCAGCCCGCTCAGTGTCACGAGGATCATAGCAGGGATAGTGGATGGGACAGGGACGGTATTGGAGATGAGTGTCGACCTCCTGACTCCCGGAGTCAGCGTGATCGTCGACGTGCCTCGACGTTTCCGCAAGGCAGTGCAGGAGGGAGGAATGATCCTCTTTGAGAACGTCAAGGTTTCAGTGAAGAAGGTGAAGGGGAACTCGTTGACAGTCAGGATCTTGCCGGATGACTTGAAGGAGACGCCGTTGGGAGAGCTGATGCCTGGGGATCAAGTCACGCTGTGTACCATAGACGATGCTTCTCAGTTGAAGGTGTAACAACAAGACTGAAGGTTAAAGATTTCCTTGAAACATCACTGAAGATATCCTTGAAACATCACTGAAGATTTCCTTGAAACATCACTGAAGATTTCCTTGAAACATCACTGAAGATATCCTTGAAACATCACTGAAGATTTCCTTGAAACATCACTGAAGATATCCTTGAAACATCACTGAAGATATCCTTGAAACATCACTGAAGATTTCACTGAAACATCACTGAAGATTTCCCTGAAACATCACTGAAGATTTCTTTGAAACATCACTGAAGATATCCTTGAAACATCACTGCCTCTTACCCGCCCCATTTCACACTTGCCTCTTCTGTTGTAAGAGAGGAAGGAGGTGCGTATGGTTGTGAGCCGCTACGAGCTCGATCGTCAACCAAGGACATCTCCTCAAAGAAAGCACCTGCAATGTCCTCGGGAGTGAACCCATCCTTGTTCTCTATGAAACAACACCCCAGTGCCAACAATTTCTCCACAGTGTCTTGATGCCCCTCGATGCTGGTCACACAGTCAGGAGCGTCGAAGGCGACTGGGAGCACTGACCAGGCAACATGCAGAGGCGTCTCCCCGTCGTTGCTGCACGTGTTGAGCTGCCCTCCACCCATCCAGAGTTGCTCAAAGATTTGGGTTTGCCCCTGCATTCGGAGTCAGGAAGACCCTGTCAGGGTCGCGGATACCATCCATGCTGCGATGTGCATGGGGCTGAGGCCATCGGCATCTGGAGCGTTCGGGTCTGCTCCGTTCAAAAGCAGCGTATTCACAACATCTTCTTGCCCATGGAACGCAGCTCTGTCACATCGAAATCAGCTCCTGCCCTCTCCACGAACTCGAACCTGTGTAAAGGGGTGGCTCCTGAAAGATCACGTATGTCCACCATGGCATTGTTGTTGATCAGGAGCTGGACAACATGACTGTTCCCTTGTTCTGCAGCTGCACATGGAGGTATGAAGGAGATCAGTTAGCATGCACAGGGTCTACCGATGTGCAGCGGCGAGGTGTAGCAAGACTGGCTCCTATCCCCCGGCACGAAGATCCAGTAGAGTTTGTTGAGCTCGATTCCACTCTCGAGTCCTTGCATGATTCCATCCATGTGGCTCATGATACAGCTCAGCAAAAATACTTCTTCGCTCTCTGCTCACGTCGACACAAAATTCTTTCAGCGTCTCATGTCCGGCAAACATCGCCACTTCCGTTACCGTTGTTGGCCTGCGGTAATGCTTCGGTCTCTTTGGGCAATTCAATCTTCGTTTTCCTTAACCTACAAGGAAGATCATTGTTCTCATAGACGGCATCACTGAAACAAACACCTCTCAGCATCTTTTTCTAGATCCACCAGTGACACTGTACCTTCAGGTTCAAAGTCTTGATCGTCGTCATGGAAAACTCCTAGGGCGGTATCTTCTCCCATCCATCAAACCTCCGTGCACATAGCACTTGTTCATACCCATAGAGAAATGTCGGCGTTTCTTCAACCTGGGAGTTATCGGATACCACTTGGGATTTGGCGGCTCGACCGCAGCACATGCTCCCGGCATGTAGTGCGTCGGGCTCCATGGCACCTGCGCCATGGAGCGTCAATGGTGTGTGTCTGTGTTGGGGGGGGAGGGGGGGGGTCAGAGAATCATCGGCCGACCATGATGAAGACAGCGATGGTGGCGGCAAGGAGGTGCATCGAACTCCATCTGAGCTGCATTGTGGGTGGCCTGACTTTCCGCTTCGTCGTTAACGCGCTCCTGGAAAGTGCAGGGATTCCGAGGTACTCGCTTGTCGTGGGATCCCTTGCTCTCCTCTCTCCTCCTCTCTCCTCCTCCTGTTCTCCATCGCCGTATCCCCCTCTCACATCTCCTCCTCCTCCTCCTCCTCCTCCTCCTCCTCTACTCCACCATGTACAGTCGCACTCTCTTGATGCCCTGAGTGCGCGGATGATGGCAGAACAGAAAGAGCATACAGTGACAACCCTACCCTCCAAGACGTCATAGAGGACCACCCCACCTACTCCAGGACTGATCATTTTTACGGATAAGACCCTCATGTCTCACCCCCCCACCCCCTCCAATGAAGTGGGAAAAAACTTGTCATGGCGAGTCACATTATTCACGTTGTAATGCCGCGGGGAGGGGGGGGGGCGCCGGGGTGGAAGGAGGGGGGCAGAAGAAGCGGATAGAGGAGGAGGAGGAGGAGGAGGAAGACGACGACGACGAGGAAGACGAGGAGGAGGAGGAGAGACAGCGAGAAAGAAACTTTCTGGTGCGAGCAGGCAGGTTTGAAGTATGAGCGGAGGACAGGGTGCCTCTGTATCCGGGCCAACTTTGACATCTGAGCAGGCAACTTGGAGCGCCTTTCGGAGGATCAAAGAAACTTGAAGGAGGCTTGCTGAATCGAGGCAACTTGACCCTGCATGGAGGATGAGGGCGGGGGAGCAGGCGAAGAGATACTTCAACATCACCATCATCATCCGTGTAGAACAGCTCGATGACTGCATGCAGGTTGCTAGGACCCTTGTGGCGATCTCCTTCATGACAACCTGATGCTGCTGTAAAACCAGACCCCATACCTGATCCAAGCGCAGATGGCCTGGCAGGGCAAGAAGCTGCTGTCAGGCCAGACTGTGCTCAAGACCCATGCTCAGGTGGGAGGAGAAGAACGTCGTGTGACAGTGATGGAGGAGGGAACTGGGGGTGGGGGGAGAAGATGGATAGAGCGAGAGAGGGGGAGGAAGGAGAGGGAGAGGGAGAGGGAGAGGGAGAGGGAGAAAAATACTCGATTCATCGTGTTTGTTTGCAGCCTTGCAAGGACAGAAGAGTCTCGTGGTACGACGAAGTCCATCCTTTCAACAGTGAGGAGGGAATCGGGTTGAACGCCCGCTGACGTCATCGTGCTCCTGCCAGGCGTGCTTAAAGTTCGGAAGAAGCTCAAGAGGGGACGTGACTCGCTTTTCTCTTGCAGCCACGTCCTTCGTATCAACGTGGCTCAGTGCCGGACAGCTGGGCGAACGAGGAAGTACGGCTTCGTCGAAGTCAATGTTGGTTTCCATGTCCAGTCTGAGAGCGAGGAGGAGGAGGGGGAGGAAGAGGGGGGAGGGAGGGAGAGGGAGAGGGAGAGGGAGAGGGAGAGGGAGAGAGGCAAGGAAAGGGAGGGAGGGCAGCAGGGAGGGGAGAGGCAGAGGCAGAGGCAGTAGGAGAGGGAGAGGGAGGGAGTCATTCAAATTGTAGGTGGAGGAGTGGATCAAGGAAGAATTCTTCAACCACTT